TGACCTCTTGTACTGTCCATGTTGAGTTTTTACTGCAACATTCTGCACAACCCCGTCACGTCTAGGGTAAACATCGACAACACGACCAAGTTGCCACTGACCTCGCGGCAAGTTGTAGTCAACTAACAGCACAATATCATTTACACTCATCTGACGCGCCTTGGTGCGCCATTTCACTCCGCATGAGAGTAGGAATATAATCCCTCACAAATCTTCTCCAGAATTGCGAAACAATACACTGCACAAACTCAAGCCTGCACCTCAGATTTGTTGTTTTCGAGCACACACATTGAGGAACATCATTTGAAGCCCGACCTATCAGGAAATGATTTGGGGTCAAAGGTTGCAGATCATTAGGGTCACTTGAACTGAATCCAAGTGGTCTGGAATTGAGTTAACATTTCCCCTTCAGCGAATACCGTTGTGATTTCATTCCATGTCAAAACTTCCGACACTTATCTCCATCGCTCTCTTTGCTTGTTTTATTATACTCTCATAAAGTCCTCCTTGGTGTGGACTTAATGGCGTTGTGAAAATCCACCTAATTCGTTGTTTTACACTGAACCTTTGTAATACTTTCCTGTCTTCTGTGAACAGTTTCTTTATCTCTTTCTTTGCTCCGACGAATGACGTGCCATTATCTGATATCATTGTCGATGGCCATCCATGATTCGCAGCAAACCGTCTCAGTGCATGTAGGCATGATTCCGTCGATAAACCCTCAACGACTTCCAGATGAATCGCTCTTGTCACAGCACAGGTAAAAAACGCCCCCAAGGCAAGTGGTGAATGTCCAAGCCTTCCACCAACCTTGATCAATCCATTTTCTGCAAAGGGAGATAATTCTGAGAAAGACTTTTCCCAGTCGCCAAGTGATTTTTGTGAATGTTGAATCCAGTAATTCTCTGCTCTCTGTATCTCTTCCGGTTGAAGACAATCTGTTTTCCCAACATTCAGCTTTCCTTTCTTCTTACACAATTCGATAAAGCGAAAACAGTGAGCCGTCACATGAAGAAGCGTCCTCCAACTTGAGAATCTTTGACAGTCTATGAATACACAATCTGTCTCTTTCTGCATACCTTCTTTGGTTTTTTCAATTCATCCTTCTCACTTTGCTCTGGCCATTCTGCTCTTCCCTGTCTAAGAAAACTAGGACCGTGAAACCAACTGTCTTTGATTTTCTCCACTTTCATCCCTCTACTCAAATCGTCAGCTGGATTGAGTTTCGTAGGCACAAACTTCGAGTTGCTAGCCGGCCATTCCGCTTGGATTACGGCCACACGCACTCCTACAAATGGTTTCAATGTTGTAGATTCAGACTGCAACCAGTGTAGCACTTTTCTTGAATCTGACCAAAGAAACACCTGCGGGTTACTTCTCATACTATTGTATATAGTTCTTGCCAGTCGTGATGCGATGAGTGCTGCCATCAGTTCAAGACGTGGAATCGTTGATTGTCTTATGGGTGCAACTCTTGCTTTCGCGTCGACTAGTCTAACACTTGTAGTTACTGATGTATTCCACAGAAGATATGCGCACGCTCCATATGCGTCTTTACTCGCATCGGCAAAGACAGGTAGTTCTGGTGAACCACATCTATTTTCAGGTGTCAGACATCTGTCAAATTTCACTTCATTGAGATTTTCTAAGTCTCTGAAAATATCTTGCCACAGTCCACCCATCTCATTTGGCAGAATAACATCCCAGTCATACTCTTTCATTTTCCAAAGGTTCTGCATAGCAATTCTTGCTCGAATTGTCACTACGGACGCCAGTCCTAAGGGATCACACAACTGGGCTATGTCTGAAAGTACTGATCGCCTTGTGTATTCATTCAAAATAACTTGCTTCACCTTAAAATGAAATGTGTCAGTGCGAAAGTTCCACAAAACTCCTAGAGTTTTCACTTTTTCCTGAATTTCTTGACTAGAATCAGGCACATCTAGTGATATCTTGTCATTGTCTTCCAAATTTTGCGTTTTATTTGAAGAACATATCCATTCTTTGATTCTAAAACTTCCTGTTTCAGTATGGTGTCCAGATCTGTCATCAATTCAGATGCCCCTTCATTTGTGTCACAAGAATGAAGAATGTCATCCATATACCGATCGTCTCGTAGAATGTCTGCTGCATCTGGATATTCCTCTTGGTTATCCTCGGCCATTTTCAGCATTATGAAATTCGCCATGTCTGGTGATGATTTGTCTCCAAAAGTCACTCTCATCATTTTGTAGATGATTGGGACACATGACATGTCTAAGTTTCTCCAGAGGTATCTATGGACTTGTGTATCTGACTCAAGGAGGCGAATTTGTAAATACATCTTCGAGATGTCCCCGATAAATGCCACTGGTTTTTCTCTAAATCTAAGCAATGTAGAAAACAGGTTTCCCAGTAGAGCGGGTCCTTTAAAAAGAAATGAATTTAGTGTCACTCCTTCACAAAGACAGGCAGGATCAAATACAATGCGGAGAAGGGTACTTAACTTTTCAGGCCAGTACACCCCATGGTGCGGTAGATAGTATGTCACGTCAGATGTTTCTTCTTCAACCTTCTCTGACCATCCGTTATCTTCGATTTCTTGCATGGCTTTACCATAAAGTTCTGCTTTTTCAGGAGTTTTCAGTAGATTTTTCTCCAGCGCAAGCTCTTTTTTCTACAATCTAGTAATTTTCAGGTAATTCTCTCTTGTCCCGTTTCCATGGCAATCCAATGATGTAACGATCATCTTCTTTCTGACATGATGATTCAAACATTTCCATTGCCTTTCGATCATCGATGGACATCACAGTCTTAGGACAAGAACAGTTTGGTGCTTGAACACCTAGGGATTCAAGATCATACATTTTCTCAAGGTCTATTTTCTGTACAAAGTTTATTGTAGGTGCAGAAGGCATTGACACTTTCTCACTTCCCATCACGCACCATCCTAGACGTGAAAGTTTCCCAATCGGTTCATATAGTTGTCCTTCTCTGACTTCTTGATCTGCATGTAAGTGACTGTATTGGACTCCTAATACCAAGTCGATCGGACCCGCTTTAGGAGGGAACTCCAGATCTTCCAGATGTTTGAAAGTTGACAACCACTTTCGATTGAGTGGCCCTACATTACAGACTGTGTCATCTATCTCGTGAGCGTCGATTTGAAACTCATTCATCTTTTCATGAAGTGGCGATATCCAGAAGTTCACACGTCGACTGCAGTTCTGAGTCACTTTCTTACCACCAACTACGGATAACTCTATTCTTTCTCTTCTTCCTTGTAATCCAAGAGCTTTCGCAAAATCAGTTCGAATAATTGTGGTGCCAGCTCTGCAGTCAATAAGAACGTTACCCTCTCTTGTCCTTTCATTAGCCGCTCTAAACATCACTCTGACCACTGGAAGAATGCCACCAGTATCTAAGATAGAAGAAGCAGCGCATGCTTTGGTTGGGTCTGTATGCAATAGCTGATTGTGCGTTCTTACGCACCCATTTTTCCCACAAGTTATCCTGGATCTTCAGTCTCTGGCGATATGACCTTTAACCAGACATGAAAAACAAAGCCTGTTCTTCCTCACAATGTTCACTCTGTCACTCACTGTTGAATCGATGAATGTTGGACATTCATTCACTCTGTGACCTTCCGCACACACGTAACATTTCAATCCATGTCTCTTTTCAGCTTGCGCTGTGTGAATTCCCTTCTTCACATTCTTGTTCATGAAACCTTTGTCTCTGTTTTCTCTCGTCTCAAATCTTGCACTTCTTCTCCAGGTCTCCAAAATCCGGATCAAACTCAGTTTTCACTGTTTTGCGTAGAATAACACTTATTTCTTTCAGGTCTGGAATACGTCCTCTTTCTCTGATATTCGTTTTCAGCAGATAGTCATGAATACACCGACTGTCTGTCGTCGTAAAACTTCCTCATGACGTCTTGACTGACAACTGAAGTAGGTATAACCAATTGTTGGTTTCAATTCATGAAGTTTATTTTTTCCTACTTGGGTGTCCCACCTTTTGTGCATGAGGTCCCGACTATAACTTTTGATAGTGTGTTTGAAGTCACTGTACAGGATCAGCAGTGGAGATAAGGGCTTGCCAAGAGCTGGTTTAGCTGATGCATCGGTCTTTGTGTTACCTGTTATGCCGACGTGACCCGGCAAACCAGCAAAGGATGATGTCACATTGGCCAGTAGAAAGTGTCCAGGATAATAGGGTGACTTGAAGTAACATTTTGAAGTGCTTGAAGGCAAGATAATAAATCTTGTCATTGAATCAGAAAAAGTTGTTATTAATTCTGTTGGTAGTAATTCAAGAAACAATTTGGATTGTCGTACCGTAGTAATGAAAATTCAGCTGGAAAGGATATGAATATTTTAGGTCGATTTTACACCAGATGAACCACCAAAGTAAGTGTAGTGAATGGATGTGATTTGCACTGACGTCTTATATCTAATTAGACTGGGTCGATGTTTTTGCTGGTGGACTGAAGTTTTCTAGATTCATCATGAGCTCGGTAGCAATTTAAATATGCTCAGTCAATAAGGTAATTGGTAATTTTTCGATATGTTGTTGAAATTATATTACTTGAAACATTTGTTTTGTTGCTTAATATAGACTTACGTTTCGATCCATATAATGTGAATCACAGTGAATCACAATTCTCATCATTTGGTTGTAGTCACTTTCCAAAGCCACTGGTGCCATTATCCAAACCATACTACACAATCCTTCAAAGTAAACGAATGACGCATTTCCCGTTACTGGCAGTGATATGATCCCTATTAAGTGTAGCCGTGTACACAACATAGGCGTAGGAACAGTTTAAAAGTGGGGGGGCAAGATTTCGAAATTGATAACGGGTGTGTGTGGGGTGGGGTGTGTGGAGAGAGGAGATATATGAAAAGGACAGACGAGTTCACTTGAAACTTTAATTAATAGCAAATGCATTACATTATTCAGGTAACACTAGATCGACTGTTTGTACAGGCTAGTGCATCTCGCGAAATGTTCAGCTCTTATGAGAAAAGTCCAAAGTAGTTGCGTCTTCTGTCATTGAAAGAAATGAACTCCCGGGCAACATCCACTAGAGATAGTTCATCAGCAATGGTTTTGTGGACATGCAGTAGCAGAACGTTGTTCAGACGTTCCTGTGTCATTGTAGATCTGACGTATGACTTCAGGCGTCGAAGCGTGGAGAAGGTACGTTCTGATGTTGCTGTGGTGACAGGAATAGTCAAGTAGATCTTCAAAAGGGTGCTTATCTCCTTGAACAGGTGCCTTATTACAGGCGATGAGTTGATAACTGATACAACAGTATCAATATTTGTGACTTCAATGATTAAGCATCCTCTTTCAGTGGAGACAGATTTCACTGTGTCATGAAGCATGGAAAGCTGTGTGTTCAATCGAACAAAGTCAACATCATCTTTGTAGAGTTCTCTGATGTGAGAAGATATTTGAAAGTTCCGTCCATTTGCAGCAGACAGCAACAGTTGCTCTATCTCCACAGCAGTGTTAAATCCTTTCTGTGAGAATCTCCGCTTTAGTTGCTCTGAAACGATGTCTAGACCTTCAAAATATTGTTGGCGATAATAATCTTCCACAGAAGGAAACGTGTGAGTATTAGATCCATCATCCAATCTCTTGGGCCTCTTCCGGTAGCGTGGTAGACGTGGAGGATCAGTTTTGTCTTCAGCTTCATCAACAACGGACTTGTAGAACTCTGAAAAAGTATCTGTACTCCTCAGCTTATCATAATACGCCAGTTCTTGCTCTGCTCCCTTTTGTGCGTCCTTTGCCGTTGTTTCTACGCTTTGAATGGAGGAAGACAATTGCTCTGATGCAGCAAAAATTTGGGAAGAAACTTTCAGCCCAAAAACACACTAAACTGGTCAAACTGAAAGTAAACCACCTGCAATCCTGGCATACTCATCGTGACCCTTATTGATTTCTTCAAATGCTTTTCGAAGAGTATCAAAGTTCTCCAAAACAGAGTTGATAGATCCTGTTCTAACTGTCCAACGTGTTGGACACAGAGGTCGTAAGCCACGAGTTCTTTCAGTTTGAGGCACATCCATGTCAAGACGCTTCTCAATGGATGGAGCTTTTTGAAGATTCTTGAATAGGTGTTCTCGTTTGGAGAATATTTAATGAGCTTGTTCACTTCAATTGTGATGTCAAGAGCATCCCTGAGAGGTTTGCATGCTCTAGTGGCTTCCTGCAAAGCCAAGTTGATACAGTGGGCGAGGCAATGGACATGAACTGCTCGTGGTTCTTCTCTTTGCAGTTGGACAGCAACTCCATTGACATGGCCTTGAAAATTACTTGCACCATCATAGCCTTGACCTCGGCAATTCGATAGTGGTAAGTCACAACGGATAAGTGTGTCTTTTAGTACTTCTGTTAGTGTTGCTGATGTTGTGGAAGGAACCACATATAGGCCAATAGCATCCTCATGGACACTGAAATCATTATCCACCCAACGGATACATATGACAACTTGTTCTTTGTTTGATATGTCTCTTGTTTCATCCGCCATAACGGCAAAGAACCTGGCAGCTTTGATTCTCTCAAGAATCTTCAGTCGCACAGCTCGGCCCAGGAGCATCAATTGCTCATTCACAATTGCAGGTGACATATATGTTTTCTCAGATAACCATGTTGGCAACCCCTCTATGTCAGAACCTCTCAGTTTCAGAAGCTGAAACAAGTTCGATTCCTCTTCAATATGCCCTCGAAGCGCTAATCCTTGCCTTGATAAGAATAAGAGACATGACAGCTGCACAAGCAGAAGGTTTCGTCTGCACTGCTGTTCCTTGGTAACTTTTGCCAGAAGTAAACTTGTGACACTGTCATTACCATGTTTCTTGTGTTTTGCAAGGGCATCTCTGTGATATGAACTCTTATCATGCTTTTTGAACTTATCTCCAGACTTTTTCCAATTGTTGAAACCTTCTGATATGAATGTTGCTTCAGGTTGTCTGGAGGTAGGATGCTTCTGCAGATCACTGTCCTTACCGTAAGCCAGTCTGCAATAAAAGCAGAAAACTTTGTTTCTTGTTGTACACAGAGTAAGCCAAGGATATTCATGAAACCATGAGAACGAGAATGATCTCCCAGGTTTCGTAGTTGTCTTTTTCAAGGTTGATGCAGCATTTGGCTGATAAGGTTCACTAATTTCAGAACAACAAGGTGAATTGCACACATGTTGACGTTCATCTTCATCACTGCCGGGCGATGATTGGAGCTCAGATGTCAGAGAACTCTCCATTGAAACATCCTTACTCTTGCTTTCACTGATGATGTCTGGAACTGGGTTTATATGAGACTGAGAGTCTTGTGTCCGGAGAAATTCTGATGGTTTTGTCTCACTTTGAGATTGCTTCTTGCTCTGAACTGAAAACATAAAATCCAACGTCCTCTGTTTCTTTTGTTTCTTTTTTTGGTCACTTTCTGCCAAGTCAGCATCAACATGTTTTTTCGCAGTATCCAAACAAGCAACAAAATGATTTGGTGACCAGTTCTTAGTATTTGTGTTTGTACAATGTGTCCACATGATGCAGACAGGTTCCTCCTCCGCATCATTCAGAGGGTGTATTGTTTGATTAAGTACATGTCTGTTTGTAGCCACATTTTGGATTTTGGGATAGATAAATTGAACTGGTCGTTTCAGAACACTTGGCAAACTAAACATGTGTAAAACTGATGAATATTCTCCATTTCTTGTTGTTTTCATCACTAAATGTCTGTAACGCTGCATGTTGTCACCCTCTGCAGACTGACTTTCGGATGACGTCAAAATATACTGTAACAGTGATCCGTTACCTTTGGCTTCAGAAACACTTGATCAGTTTTGATTCATTTAAGTAATGTTCTCCATTGTTGATAAGATCAAAAACACCTCTCACTCGAAGTTCAGTATAATAATCTTCAAAACCAAAGCAGAGTTGAGAGGCTGACCTCCAAAAACAGTTTCCATCTCCATAACATCTGACTGGGGTAAGATGTATAGGAGCATCATCTGGATATAACATTCTAGCAACATGATCAATACTGAATTGCATATTGCTATAGTTTGGCAAATGATTTAAATCCAGTTCAAATTTGTTAGTGTTTGACTTTGCAATTTCTCCACAAAGAGTGTCCCAGCCCTTGTCTGCAGCTTTAGAATACTTCACAAGAAGGTCTTTATAATAACTTATTCTCTTTATATTTGGTCTTAAATATCTGAAAAATAAGAAATTGGAGTCACTGTCATTTTTTCTTTATGATAATCATATTTTGGGTGCTGACAAATAGAACAATAGGGTACTGAAAAACAATAGTTTTATACTATAAATATATCATAATTACATTCAATAACAAGGCAGAAGTGAGCACAGCTCACATACTCCCGCTTATAGTCTGATCACCTTCAATACCATTATTGAATACCAAAATAATATTTTAGGAAAACTTTCAATTTTGGCATCATGCAATTGAAAGCCAAAATCCACAATGGCACCATAAGGGTAAGTTCCATGCCAAATTTGAAGTTTGTAAGTGGTATAGTTTTTGAGTTATGCTCAGAGAAACCATTCCGGACGCAAGGACGCACGGACACACGGGCGGACTGGCGGAGCGCTATATACCAGCGACTACGTCGTAGCGGGGGTATAATAATGCAGCCATTCTTATTTCATACATGAATTCGGCTTTCAGATAAAACCAGCTCTCTCACTGCCAATGTATGAGTTTGAAATCGTGTCTTATTGTTATTGTTTAGATTTTCAATAAATAAATCAAACAGCACCTATTATACTTAAAATATGGCTATTACTGTAAACTAAATGTTACTGTATAGACTACACTGTAATGTCAATGTATGTTGTCAACTTACCGCTGATTCGAATCCATGTTGGCTGTTAATAACAGCCTGACTGCCTCTACTTTCACTTTTGAGTGACATGAATGAAAAATTTGGATTCTATCATTAGCTAAGAGCTCTTCAAACACCCACCCCACCACCCCGTGAATTTTTTTTGGATCATGTTGGGTTGCGCCCCTGTTTTTCAACGTTACACACATTTGTGTTTAATTCTCTATTATGGTCCTTTCATTATGGCATCCCCACAAGCTGGTTCATCTTGCTATGAAAAAAGAGGCGTCTGGTTGAAACAGATCATCAAGCTGAAACTATTTTGGTGAAGGGGCGGTGGGGTAGCCTAGTGGTTAAAGCGTTGGCTCGTCACGCCGAAACCCGGGTTCGATTCCCCACATGGGCACAATGTGTTAAGCCCATTTCTGGTGTCCCCCGCCGTGATATTGCTGGAATATTGGCGGCGAAAACTAAACTCAGTCAGTCAGTATTTTGGTGAACTTGGATTCTTGGGCTTGATTTCTTGTGATCGAGTCTAAGGACTTTCTACCGATCAAACTTAATCCCTTCGCAATTTCGAAAGCTATCTCTGGAATCTGTGGTGAGGAAAAGAACGTTACCCGTCTCCGTAGTGGCTTGCTTTTTGTGGAGTGTGCACGGAGACAGCAATCTTTCAATCTGCTGTTGAACATACGACCGGGAGTCAAAACAAAAATAAAGCCAAGGGAGGCAACTCTGGAGCGCTATCATAAAGGTGTACCGCTAAAACATATTATTGCCATTGACTATACATGATGCGAAATGTGACCCACAACCAGCTCAAAACTCTAAATATTGTGACCCATAATTACTATTACCTAATCAATGACAATACAAATTACAAAAACACACTCTCATAACACTAATACCTATCTCTTGACTTTTTCGCGATCTTTCCTTCCACAGTCAATAAAAGCAGGTTATGTTAACATCGGGGTGGATGTGTATGTACCCAATCCACTCCGTTGTTACAAGTGTCAGCATTTCGATCATGGGTCTCACTCGCCGTGGTGGCCATCATGAGAGTACAGATTGCGTGAATGACTATAAATGTGCAAACTGTGAAGGTCCACATGCTGCTTCATCCAGGTCCTGCCCTGTTTTCAAAGGGAATCAACAATAATGGAAATCAAATGCGAAAAAACCCATTTTCTACCTTGAAGCCAAATAAACTGTTAACAAGTCAGAATTCAACTCCGATGAATATCTCTTAATCTGCAGCAGTCACCCGCACTGTAGCTACATGCACACTGCTTGTCAGACTGGCTTGACTTGGGTCAAGTAAGAAATACCTGTCTATTCAGCAAAAGCACCTACTTCACCAGTCACTCAGTCTACTTCTGGGCCTCAGACTGAAATTCAGCCCACGACATCAAAGACGTCTGCTTGACAACCAGCTACTGACCAAAACAAAAAGAAAAAAGTTAAACAGAAACCAACCGGCTATCGTCTTTTCACCTTCCGAGGTTCCTCTTCAAAACTAGTTTGAACCTCTAGACAGGGATGTTACGGTCCTCACAGGAAAGGCGGAGGAATAGCTCCTACTCACATACCCGTGAACGATCGCCAATTGAGGCACCGTGACTCAATTGGCCAATATAATTCAGTGGAATTGCAGAGGACTTATAAATAATTTTACCGAAATACAGTTACTAATTCAAGATTTTCGACAGTCAGCATTATGTCTCCAAGAGACATATCGAAAAATAGAGATAATTTTGATTTCCGACAGTACAGTGATTACCCATTCTCTCCGTCAGGAGATAGAGCAACAGGAGGTGCTTCAGTTTCGTTGCGGCAGGGTGTCGTACATAGCCCTGTCCCACTTAATACAAATCTTCAGACTGTTGCTGTTCTTTTAACTCTGCACATTGCATTGACTCTGTGCAGCTTGTATATTCCTCCTTCCAATATTCGACAATCGGATCTTCAAAATCTCTATGATCAGCTTCCTAAGCCATGTGTTATCATGGGCGACCTGAACGGACACAACCAGCTTTGGGGAAAGTGTCCATACTAATAATAAAGGTAAAATCCTTGAGGAATTCATTTCCGATAATAATGTATTTATTTCCAATGACGATCCAGCCACTTATTTACATCCAGCTACGGGAACATATTCTTCCCTGGATCTGTCACTCGCCGATTCCAACTTATATAATGAACTTGAATGGATGGTCCATGATCACCTATGTGGGAGTGATCACTTCCCCACCATTCTCAAAAACATCAACCCTAGTGATGATCCCTCTGTATCAAGAAGAAACATTGCCAGGGCTGATTGGTCATTATATAAGTGAGTGAGTTAAAATGTAAAGTCACATCGGCAATATTTCAGCCATAAAGTGACTAAAACAAGTTTAGAATTCACCATAAATACATGTAAATTATAAAAACATGTCATCGAAGGACAGTAAAACCGACTAGAATATCACAGTATCAAGAAATGAAACTAGGATCTCTCTCTAAAATTGGATTTTAAATAACGACAATACAGTATAAAAATGGGCTATAGATCGGCAACAACTGAAGGTAGATCACCATACCAGGGATGGCCATTATATAAGACACTGCGTGTTCAACACTTGAAGCATGATCTCTTTAGGAACTGTGAAGATCCTATACAGTCGTTTTCGGCTATACTAAATCCCATTGCCGACAAAACAATTCCAAAGTCCTCTACAATTCCACATATTCGTAAACCATGTTTCAATAATGAATGTAAACAGGCCAGAAAATGTAGGAAGAAAGCCGACAAATATTTTCGCAAACACCCTACTGGCCATAATCTAGACAAAGTCAAAATTACCAACGCCAAGGCTAGACGTGCTTATAAACAAAATAAGCGTCAGTCTTGGCGAAATTATGTTTCCAAAATAAATTCACGTACACCTTTGTCAAACGTGTGGAATATGATCCAAAGAATAAAGGGCAAAGGTTCCATTACTCATCATCTGATGGACGGTGATACTATATTAACTAATAAAGCTGACATTGCAAATAAACTTGGTGCAACTCTCGCCAAGCATTCATCTTCATCAAATTATGTTCAAAAGTATGAGAAACAACAAGAGAAGAAAAGAACCAATTTTAACTCAGACTATGGTGAAGATTATAACGAATTATTTTCGTTAAATGCTTTGAGCAAGCTCATGATACAGCAACAGGAGCTGATAATATTCACTATCAGCTCGTGAAGCATTTGCCCGAATCATGTTTAGAAATCCTTTTAGAAATGTTTGATCAAATATGGACTTCAGGGAATTTCCCAACTTCGTGGTGTAACGCCATTGTTGTCCCTATTCCAAAGCCTGGCCGGGATCATACTGATCCGTCTAATTACAGACCCATCTCTTCAACGAGTTGTGTCTGTACAACGAATGGTAAACAATAGATTAACTTAGTATCATGAAACCAATAACGTTATAACAAATATTTAATGTTGTTTCAGGAAGAATCCTAGTACCATTGATCATTTGGTACGACCAGAATCCTTTGTTAAAATGCATTAGTAAATAAACAACATGCGATATCGATATTCTTTGATCTTGAGAAAGCGTATGATACCACCTGGAAGCATAGCATTTTAAAGTATTTACATGATTTTGGTTTGAGGGGTCGTTTACCTCTTTATTTCACAGTTTTAACAGACTGGCAATTTCAAGTCCGAGTGGGTTCAACACTGTCTGACCATTATAATCAGGATCAGGGTGTCCCACAGGGCAGTAGTTTGTCTGTCACATTGCTTAGTATTAAGATCAACAGTTTATCCATGGTTTTAAACGATTCAGTTGATGGATCAATAGTTATGGATGATTTTAATATTTCTTGTCGTGGTAATTGCACTTATGTTTAAACAACATAAATGAGTAAATGGTGTCTTGAAAGCGGCTTTAAATTTACGAAGTCAAAAACTAATTGTCTACACTTTTGTAGAAAATATAAACCGCATAAAGACCCTGAACTATGTTTAAATGGCACTCCCATCAAAGTTGTCAAGGAGCCCAAGTTCTTGGGTCTTTTTTCGATTCCCATCTATTATTCCTGCCTCTTGTTTAAATCTCTTAAAGCTAAATGCCTGA